CGGTTTACCATTGGAGGAATTTGAATCTTCCATGCCTATCTAAGAGAGAAACTACATCTGTTCCGCATCATTTGCATCACTTGAATGGTTTACCATCCCACATTGTTTGGTTTGTATGTTTATCAACATTCATGTAAATATATACACTGACACAACATTTTGGATTTTATCCAAACAATATGTACGGATGACAAAAGTTTTTAGCAAAAATGAAGAAATAAAAATACTAATTAAATTTATACCGACAGAGAATAAAATAAAAGGAAGAAATAAAGAAAAATAATAATAAATAAATAAGTAAATGAAAATAAATTAAAATTAACTCAAGGGCGAATATAATGTGAGAATGTCGCAGTGTATTATTGCTAGTAGGCATGAAATTAAGTGCTAAAATGAAAGGATGTTAAAATTATTAGGTCAACTTTTTTTTTTGTTTTTATTTATTGATTTATTTGTTACTCCCATCTTGGTTACTTAAGCTACTTTAAACAATATATATATATATATGTATATATATATATGTTTACGATCGATTGAATGAATTCTAAAGCATATACTTGGGTTGTGAAATTCATTTTTGTAACTAATTTTGTACATTTTATAAAGTTAATTATGCTGTGGAGCCATGGAATATGTAAACAAAAAACCTATTTTAGTGCAAAAAGTATGCACTAGAGCAGGTATATTAATTTCATATGGCACTTCGGAATCAGAAAAAGTTAAAAGCAAAGTTTTGTCGAGAGGGGTAAACAGGGAGCCGCTGCCCCTATCCCACACCGCTTTGTAAACAAATGATTTACGGTTTATATATGGAAGCCTGTAAAGAAACTTTCGTCCCTTCGGGGACATCCGATAAAATTGGAACGATACAGAGAAGATTAGCATGGCCCCTGCGCAAGGATGACACGCATAAATCGAGAAATGGTCCAAATTTTTTTTTTCCCGTTATCCGCTCTGAAAAATCCTCCATTAATTCTGATAGTCTCTCGCGTCTCCGACACTTCCAGGTCTTCTTCCTTCTTCTCCAACACCGTTCCCATTACCCATAACGTCCTCCCCTGACGCCACTCCAAAACCCCTTAACCCGACTACAATTCCTTCTGCTCTATCATCGTCATTGCCTTCCCTCCGAAAAATCCCGCGTCATCCCTA